GTGGTAATTTTTTCCCCTGAATTGTAATAGTGAAGGGTGACCATACTCTTAGTAAAAAAGTGGTAAAACCAGTTGTTTATTCATTATTTATTACTGTTTTTGTTTTTTTTTTTTCCAGTTTTTGCTGGCTGCTTTTAAAACATTAATTAGCTCCTCCTGGATTTTTAGAAAAGTTTTTAAGCACCTTACAAAGCCATATGTAGATGCCTGTCTAGAAAGGAAGGGAGTCATTCAAGGAATAGCCCTTGTTTCTCCATTGCTTCAGGGCAGGACTGTTGGGGCTCATTGCCTTCAGGTGCTAGCTACCTCCTGCTGTGTCTGTTTTTTACCTGATCTCCCTGTAGACAAAGGGAGATGGAAACAAAGGGAGCAAACACACGTTTTTAAAGCCCAGTAGCTTTAAACTATTTTTGTGGATTTTACTTTCAGAAACACTCTTTTGTGATTAAAAAAAAATAATAATTGTCAATGAGATAACTCAATAAAGCTCGAAAAAAAAATCTGTTGTGAAAATTTTAGAGGTAGCATTTAATTTGGCCCTAGTTAGACCTCTGTATCATGGGTCTTGAGGATTTTAATTAAAAAAGAAAAAAAAAAGAGGTACTGAACAAAATATTTTTATTTACTTTTAAAAAAAAATTATGTTCATTGTTTCTATACAAAAGGATCATATACATCTGTTTTAAAAGGTTCAAAGCCAATCATTGATTCTGACTTGGGAAGGAAAGACTCGTTGCCTATTTAAGTCTGGCTTTAATTTTCAGGGGAGCTTTAAATAGCGCTCCTATACTGCCTAGAATAATTATGTTTCCACACCTGCTTTAGGATGCAGAGGACAGCAATTTAGGGAAATAGGGGTATTATATAAGAGTGCGTGGAAGGTTCATAGGCAGCCTCTGCTTTTCAGAAGATCTACATCCTAGTGGCCAGAGGAATTAGCTATAATTGAATAAGAGAAGGTGGGTGAAGTTTCCCATAGTGGCTATTAGAAAGGACAGAGCTTGTTTTGGGGAAGATGATGTACAGTTAATTTTGTGAGTTTGGTGATTGTTTCATTTGTCTTTATTCTTTATTTCAAACCCCAGAACATTTAATCCTGCAGACTATTCAGATTCTCCATCTATAGATGGGTGTGGGACAAAACCAGTAGTTTGGGAAGCTGCTCAGAATGGCGCAGCAGAGGGAAGTGGTAAGTGTCTATTCTAGTCAGAGATGTGTTTTAAATGTTTGAGCTGTTAACATACATACAAAGATGACATCAAAGTGTGCCATTGGAGAATGATAAAAAACATCCTGCTGTCCTACTTCTGAGACTACTATTAGCCAGTTCTTACACCTCCAAAGTCTCACTTACAAATTTCATTGATGATAAGGTATTTGATTTTTCTCTTCTGCACTCTGAGGAAGAGGTTATAATTAGTCTGTGTAAGTCAGCACAAACCCACGCTCAGATCTCAGTGTGTCAAGGATTTTTAAAGAATTTAATTTTATTAAAAAAAAATTTAATAAAAATTACAGTTGACATTCAATATTATATTAGTTTCAGGTGTACAGCTTAGTGGTTATGAAGTGATCCCCTGATAAGTCTGGTACCCCCCGACAGCGTGTCTCAGGGATTTATAGAATTTCTTAGGAGAATATTTGTTACTGAAAGTACTTAACATTCCCAATGGTGGACACTAAATTTGGCCAGATAAAGTGGTAGATATAGATGGGTTTGGGGCAACAATTGCTTTTGCATGATTTTCTGTATCCTGCTGTTTTTTTAATTTGGGAATTGGGTGAGGGGAACAGCGCTGGGGAATCGGGGGAAGGAGAACAGAAAAGTTGCTGTTGTTTTGTTCTTTAGTCTAGTTGTGGAGGATGTTGCTTCACTGGCCCAAGCTGGCACCATCATTGCGCTCTTCCGGGAGAGGCAGATTAGCCGCTCATGGCGGCTGCTGGCCGCTCACGCTGGCTGCCGGCTGCACATGGTAGTTTATGGCAGCCCACTGCAGCAGGGGACTGCAGCCTACGCCGTTGCTGGCGACCCACGGCAGCCCAGCTCCATGTTGAGCTGTTGTTCAGCATCTTAGCTGTAGAGGGCATTGTCACTGGCCCTCATATGTGGGATCCGAACCGGGGCCCTCTGGCATCCCAAACCAGTTCTTAACCAACGCGCCACTCGGCCGGCCCTGTATGCTGCTGTTTTTGGATTATTTCTTTTCTGAAATTAATGGGCAGATACTTGTTAATTAGCATGTTGATGTAATAGAGCTCTTTGGAGGATTTATTCATGATTTTATATATATATATATATATAAACTACTGTGATTATATTTATAAAGACATAATCTGACACTTTCATATCACATCAACCCTGGTCAGAAAATAAGGCAGTGCCACCATCACAGAAGGATAATCATTGAACTAGAAATCAAAGATACTGTAGAGATGGGCCGGCC